ATGTATGTATGTATGTATGTATGTATGTATGTATGTATGTATGTATGGGTATGTATGTATGTGATTCGCCTTTGCTCAGTTCTTTGAAAATGTTTGCAAACTGGCATTTGAACCGAATAGGGCACCGCCTCACGTACTTAATGGCTTGGACTGCGGCAGAGCCAACAAGCGTGCTGTGCAGTTCATTCTGTTCCCTTCTTCCAGAACCGCCAGAGGTGTAGCTTCGCTATGCTAGAACGGAAAACCTACGAGGGCATGACTTGTTCCTTCAGGTTTGGATTCGCATGTGTTGGGCCGGCAAGTGGTTGGGAAGAACAACTAGCCGGAAGGGGATCCTCTAAGAGATGCTATAAGCCTTTTGGCTTTGGTATTGGGGTCGTAACAGGACTTGTTTGACACTAGCACTTCCTGCCACGACAGGAAGCTGAGGCAGAAAGGCGGTCAGAAATAGGACATGCGGAGCTTCTGCAGCTGCAGCACCGGCACTGGGAGGAGTTGCAGACGTCAAGGCGTTGGCGAGGACCAGTGTTGTTGTTTCGAGCCAAAGCACTCTTGGAAACATAATTTGGCGAAATGTCATGGGCAGGACTAGCTGAGGAGGAAAGAGCACGAGAGTTCGAAATGGAAGAGGTTGCAGCCGCACACGAACTGGCAGAAGCCAAGGCTCAGCAAGAAACTCGATCATTTCTTCGTTCTTGCGAGTTGGCACAAGAACAAAAATCGAAGGCTGACAATACACCACTGACAGCGCGTCACTTGCAGTTGCTGTCTGAATCATTACAAGAAGACAGCATCAGTGTGGTGGAAAGAGAGGGCCTCATCAAGTTGGGCTCAAGTATCGCAGCTGTCAACCAACGGCTGAGCGAAGAGGTCCAAATGCGCCAGGAGTTTGAACTAGAGCTAGAGAGAGCACGATTGGAGCATGCTCAAGCCGAGTCTGAATGCTCGAAATCCCAGGAGAAGACTCAAGAGCTTCAAGAGCAGGTTCAAGGCTTGATGCTGGCTTCCTCAGCTGCCTGTGAGATGAGGAATGCCGAGGCAAACCTGAGCAAGAGAGAGGGAGAACTTGAGAGCACATCAAGTCAGCTCCACAGTCAGCGTCTCAAGTGCCAAGAGTGGTCCTCGGCGCGCGATACACAGCTTGAGGAGGTGAAAATGGAGAGCATGAAAATGGAAGAACTGCAGTACAGAGCTCGGCAGCTTGAGCTGCAGATGCAAAGAGCAGAGGCAAAGATCCATACACAGGATAGACACTTCAGACAAGAGAGGCAAGAGTGGTACAGCCGGTTGAGACAGCTCCAACTTGCAGATTTGCCCAGGCGCAAGCACGGTAGCCCGAGCGAGCCAGGCAGCCCACATGCCGAAATGAAGGCGCTGGCAGCGCAGAGGGAAGAAACTGAGATGCTCCTTTGTGAGAAAGCACGGCTTGAAGAAGAAGCTGCAGACATCAAGCTGAAGCTGGAATCGGCAAAGGAGGAGATGCAAGTTATGCAGAAGCAAGAGTATGCAGAGAGCAGGAGAAGGGGCATGCTCCTGCACGAAATTACTTGCGAAAGAAACCATACGACTGCCCTAGTGCAAGAAATTGAGCGCCTGCGAGACGCAACCGTCAAGAAAGAAGTGCAGGCGGACGAACCCGTCAAGGCAAAAGAGGTTATTTCACAAGCAAAGGTGCAAAGACCAACAGGTACTGAGCAGTCACGCACCAAGCATGTTCAAAGGTTGCTAGCTCAGGAGGAGAAGCAGGAGGGACTGCTTAAGGAACAGATCGAGACGTCAATGAGAACTGCTGCTTGGTTGATTTCACCTTTTTGTTTTTTGATGTGAGTGCGTGCCCCGAAACTCTAGACTCAGCTCGACAGCAGCGGAGGGGAGGGTCAGACAGCCAAAAAGCATCGACTTGACCATACTTGACCTATCTTTCCCTCGCAGGCTGACGACTTGCGTGAACGAATGCGAGATGCAGAGCAGAGGTTGGCTGTAAGTCGTGATGATGTAGAACGAAAAAAGGCATTGGTCTCCACCCTTCAGAGGCGAACTCAAGAAAGCTCCCAGCAGTTCAATGCAGATTCCCAACTTGAAGACGAGCTGTCGAGAACTTTGCAGCAGATGCGTCGCGACATTTCAAGGAAGGATGCGGCGCTCAAACATTTGCGGGCCGATGTGTTGGAGGCCCGCCGCTTGGATGAGAAGTCTGAGCAAACCACACCGGACACAAGCAATACCGCAGAGGCCGCTGCAAATGCCAAGCTCAAAGCAGAATTAAGACGAAAGGAGCGGGCTTTGCATCAGGCTGAAGGCAAAATGCAACTACTCAAAGCTCGATTGGCTGCTGAGGAGCAGATGGCAGCGCAGGCAGCACAAGCCAATGCGCGACGGTCACGACTTGTAGGGAAAGGCCCCAGGCCGGTTGGGGCCTCCTTGACTTCAGAACTTGAGCCGCTTGAGCCACTTGAGCCCTCTGCAGTGAGCGAAGGCTTTCAGGATGAGTCCAGGAGTTCTGGCGTTGCTGCTCTTGAGCAGGAATTGTCGGGCATACTTCTGCGGGCCGGAAATTCAATTGAATCCTCGTGGGAGCAGTCTGCAGTTCGCGAATCCTTGGAGATTCTCAACCTTCAGATAGAGGATTTGCCCGAGTTTCTGGCACATGGCTCCGACTTGACAGCAGATGCAAAAGACCAAGTGGCAGGTGGCAGTAGCCCATCATCACTCAGAGTCTTCTTAGCCATCAATATCGTTCAATATCACCAAATTGGGTATGAAAGTTTTCAAGCAGCGAGCTGTCACTGATCAAGGGACCGCTTTGTAGTCAAGGAACTCTCTCATAGTCACCTCTTCAGAGACTGCAAGGGTTTGGTTGCTGCCAAGGCTCGACTGCGGGCAAAAGAAAAGAGAAAGAAAATCAAGAAGAAGGACAAAATCAGAGCGGAGAAGGAGGCTGGATGCGACTGGTACAGGATGCCCACGTCTCCAATTCACGGCTGTAGCATGCTTTAGCAGTTTCTTTGTAATTAGGTATATCATATTTTATTCCGCAAGTAGTATAGGATCATAGAACCGCAACAACCCCTGCATCACAGCTACCCGCGCAACGCAAAGCGTAATTGGCACCACCAACCGTGCTGCTCACCAGCGGCACGCCGCATTTACACACACACATGTTTCCGGCTTCCCACCAAGGCCTCATCAAACCACATCACAGACTGACGCACCGACTTCGCCCAGAACTCTCAGGTTCTTATCCACACCATACGCGCATATTCTACTACAAAATTGTCAATTCTAGTTCTGAGGTCCAGCTTCCAGAAGCTGCTCCCCGTAGCACATGTGTCCACAAAGTTGCCGGTTCTGAGCCCACAGCTCCCACAAGCTATCCAAGAAAACGCATTTTGTGCAAGACGTCCAAAATGAAAGTTGAAAATGTGAAGATGCAGCAATTCTGCGAGACTTACTTCTTCCAGAGAGGACATTGTACGTCTTCGGACACGCGTTTTGCACGGTAAAACACTGTGTTTTGTGCATCGGCTATCTCTCACAAAGAAATTTGTAGAAAGCTTCCTCCAAGAGCTGAAGATGTGACATCTCAGCAAGTAGGCCGAAGAGAACCGGCGAGAACACCTAAACCGTCCTACACGCTGCGTGGACGATCCGAGACCGTCGCGAAACCGTCCGGCACAGGTCGTTCGGCAGAGCTAATCGCAGGCGTTTGTTCACCGGCCACTCGAGTTCACATCTCAAATCTTCACAATGGTCATTTTGTACAAGACTTCCTCAAATTTTGATAGCCCAAAGCTGCGAAATGAGCATTGCGCGCGAGACGCCTTCGAATCTGGATTTAGTACCAAAATTGGCCGTTTCACACTATGTTACTTACGTTATCTTACGTTCTTGTTCCTGAGCTCAGATCACATGTTTTACTTACATTTAATTACGCTACTTACATCTACTTACTGTTCTTGCCTATGTTGCTGATGCTGCACGTTGACTACTTCCTGTGCAAACATTCTCTACGTTGCTACTGTCCGGAATGTGGAAGTGTCTCCACCAAGCTTCGATTGACTACCACGGCCACGCTGAAAGGCACAAGGGCAGCGACAACCCAAGGCAGTGGGCGCAGATCTTAGAAGAGAGTGGCTCTTGATGGCTCTTGCAAGACATGGTGTTGGCTACAAGTTGAAGATTCTAGAAATGTGCACGCATGTAATAGTGTAACAGTGTAACCTGTAACCTCCATTCAAGCACATGAACTGCACTCTTTCATTGTCGCTCATTTTGCCAAGGCACCAATGATGCTCGGACCCCAGGGAAACCCATGTCAAGAGTGGAATTGAACACTTCCCTGTGTTTCCCGCGTGCTTGCGGCTTCTGGGTTGACTGACTTGTGACAAACCTCCAGGTTGAAGACTTGACTTGACTCAGGTTCCGGGAAAGCGTGCCCGCAAACGAAAGCAGGATGTGGAAGATCGTGTTCCAGAAGCGGGGCCAACCGCAGGCAAGGGTAAGGCTAAACACACAGGCAAACACACTCTGACACTGGTTTTCAGTTAACGCAAGTCACGTTGGGA